CAAAACTATGTTTTATATTCTGATATTTAGCTCAAGAATCCACTCAAATCTTGTAATATTTTTTGCAAAGTATGAGAAAAATATGTATCAAAAGCTGACATAAGGAGAAACAAAGCCGAAACGAAAATCACAAAAGTATGTGAACTAAACATATGTGTAAATTGGTTTCGCCGTTAGTATTCATGAATCATGATATCCGATATTTATTACATTTCCCACTATTTTATAGTTTTCAACTGACTTTTTATTAACACAATTAGGAATATATGAAAACTCAGCAAAATATCAAACATTTCTCTACTTTTAAAGATTATTCATCAAAAATATTCATTGATTTTATACCATATGAACGCTCATTGATAATGATTTAAATTGAATGTCTGGATCTTTAAGGATTAGTTGCCTTTAAGTGATTACTTGTGTGCATAAGAGGATGAAAGTGAATGCGTGAGTGAAAGAGAGAGTATTAATTGCTCGTTGAATATAAAATGGCAATTTTAATGGTGAGAAAGTGTTGTCATTTTGTCATTGGAAATAAGAAATACACGTATTTTCATATGAAATGATTTAACGATTGGATTCACATTCAAATATATGCACACAATAAGAGTCATTATAATTGATTTGATTTTTTTGGGTCAATATGTTTGACGAATAATACAAAGAATATTCTTGTATTTTATACAATAATAATGTCACGATTGGGTATAATTCGGTGTAAACGTATGGCTCGCATACGAGTGCACTGTATATCTGATGGGATTATTTCTATTTCGGTTATTCGGAAACTTAATATCATTTTTGGCTTTTATTTCGATAATTCTTATGAATTTCGCTTCTTTTCGGTACTTTCAGTGATTGTGATCTCTTTGTTGCGAAAAACGAGTATTTCTCGAGAAATCATCGTTTTCTGTGTCAATGAATGCGATCCTTATTTATAATGGCTATAAATATCATTACTTTTATCACAAGTCGTGGATTTGTATTCACATGTTATTAATTTAACCACGATTTTTCATCGATGATATTCTGGTTAAACATCAAACGTTTTAACTGTATATTTATATTTCAAATTCATGTATAATATGTTAAATATTTTATTTATTGAAATTCTCTTTAAACAAATATTTTTATTACATTTGATAAATGAATTCAAAAGTTTATTTTGGTTTTTGACACAAAATATTACACCAAATAAAAGCGAGAAAAAAGCAAATCAATAGTGATTTTTGAAACATATTTTCTTATATTCCGGAAGAAATTAATTTCAATAAAAGTTTATTCTAAAAGCAAAAAGAAATTTATAACAAATGATACTTTATTTTTATCTGTAATTCGCTGTCAAAATGTGTTTATAAAATGCGCGAAACGTCTAAATAGTAAATAAATGGGTTTTAAACTTTGAAAAGACCTCAGATTTATACCAATTATTTTTTGTTCATTATTATTGATGTATTGAAGGTTTGAGTATTGGTTTCAATGGGAATAACAGGCAATTTGATATGTATTTGTTTGCAATACTATATATTCTTTAATGAAACAAAATACTTGTTTTTTGGTTAATGATTTTGATATATATTAGTTATTTATAGTTTGTATAATAGGACACAATAACTACATAGACCAGTGCTCTCTCGTCCCAATTCTTAATCTAAGAGACAATAGAGAAAAGTGTTAATAAATTCTGTCAAGAATTTCTGTCGTCAATAAATTGTGAACTCAATTCCGGACACAAAATCCTTATTTCTCTCATTTTATTTAAACCGATATTCAAAGACTCTGTTGTTATTTTCTATTCAATACAATAAGCGGTTAAATAAACTGTCTTTAAGACAATTTTCTGCTATCATATATTGAATGCCTTTTTATGACACGATTTATGCCATTTTCTTTACAACACATTATAATATATAAAATTTATACACATTTACAGTAAATAATTTGTCGTTTCATGTATTTCCAGAGTTCGCGTCGAGTTTTATGTGAATGAAAATACGCTGAAAGAGAGATTACAGTTATATTTCATCAAAAATCAACGATCTAGTAAGTAATACATGGTATCTCACCTGCATTCTTATTCTAATATTTTAAATCTCTCTCTCTCTCTCTCTCTCTCTCTCTCTCTCTC